TGAAGCACTAGACCAAATGGATTTAATAGATATCTACAGAGAATTACACCCCAAAACTACAGAATACACATTCTTCTCAAGTGCACATGGGACATTCTCAAAGATAGACCACATGATAGGACACAAACTAAATCTCTACAAGTTCAAGAAGATTGAAATCATATCAAGCATCTTCTCAGATCACAATGGCATGAAACTAGAAATAATTGCAACAAGAACATGCAAAGACATTTCAACACATGGAGGCTAAATAGCATGTTATTAAACAATGAATGGGTCACCGAGGAGATCAAGGAAGAAATTAAAAACTTCCTGGAAACCAGTGAAAATGAACACACAACAACACAAAATCTATGGGATACAGCGAAAGCAGTTCTGAGAGGGAAGTTGATAGCACTACAGGCCTACCTCAAAAAACAAGAAAAATTTCTAATTGACTGTCTAACCTCACAACTTAAAGAATTAGAAAGCAAACAAAAAGAAAACCCCAGAGCAAGTAGAAGGAAGGAAATAGTAAAGATCAGAGCAGAAATAAATGACATAGAGACCAAAAGAACAATTCAAAGGATCAATGAAACAAAGAGCTGGTTTTTCGAAAAGATAAACAAGATTGATGGACCCTTAGCTAGACTCACCAAGAAACAAAGAGAGAGAATCCAAATACACAAAATCAGACATGAAAGAGGAGAAGTAACAACCAACACCACGGAAATACAAAAGATCGTTAACAACTACTATGAACAACTATATGGCAACAAATTCGACAATCTCAGCGAAATGGACAAATTTCTAGAAACACACAGTCTCCCAAAACTATTCCCGGAAGAGATAGAAAACTTGAACAGACCAATAACAACTAAGGAAATTGAAGAGGTAATCAAGACTCTCCCAGCAAACAAAAGCCCAGGCCCAGATGGTTTCACGGGGGAGTTTTACCGAACATTCAAAAAAGAACTAACACCCATTCTCCTCAAACTATTTCAAAAAATTCAAGAAGAAGAAAGACTTCCAAATACGTTCTATGAGGCCAGCATAATTCTAATTCCAAAACCAAAAAAAAGACACTACGAAGAAAGAAAACTACAGGCCAATATCCCTGATGAACATAGACGCCAAAATCCTGAACAAAATATTAGCAAATCGGATCCAGAAATACATCAAAAAAATTATTCACCATGACCAAGTGGGATTCATTCCAGGGATGCAAGGCTGGTACAATATTCGCAAATCAGTAAACGTGATACACCACATAAACAAAATGAAGAATAAAAACCACATGATCATATCAATAGATGCTGAAGAAGCATTCGACAAAATCCAGCATCCATTTCTGATAAAAACGCTCAGCAATGTAGGAATAGAGGGATCATATCTCGACATAATAAAGGCCATATATGAAAGACCTACAACCAACATCATACTCAATGGACAGAAACAAAAACATTTCCATTAAGAACAGGAACAAGACAGGGATGTCCACTTTCACCACTCTTATTTAACATTGTACTGGAAGTCTTAGCCACAGCAATCAGACATGAAGAAAAAATAAAAGGGATCCAAATTGGAAAGGAGGAAGTGAAACTGTCATTATTTGCAGATGACATGATATTGTACATAGAAAACCCTAAAGACTCCATCAAAAATCTATTAGACTTAATAAATGAATTTGGCAAAGTAGCAGGATACAAAATTAATGTCAAGAAATCGATGGCATTCTTGTACATCAATGATGAACTCACAGAAAGAGAAACTGAAAAAACAATCCCATTTACCATCGCTCCAAAAAAATTACGATACCTAGGAATAAACTTAACCAAAGAAGTAAAGGACCTATTTGCAGAAAACTACAGAACATTGAAAAAAGAAATAGAGGAAGATATAAAAAAGTGGAAGCACATACCCTGTTCATGGATTGGAAGATTTAACATAATTAAAATGTCCACACTACCCAAAGCAATCTATAGATTTAATGCAATCCCCATCAAAATACCAATGACATATTTCATAGAACTAGAACAAATACTTGAAAAGTTTATATGGAACCAAAAAAGACCCCGAATAGCCACAGCAATCTTGAAAAAGAAGAACAAAGTAGGTGGGATCACAATACCAGATATCAGGTTATACTACAAAGCGACTGTAACCAAAACAGCCTGGTACTGGCACAAGAACAGGCATATAGATCAGTGGAACAGAACTGAAAACCCAGAAATGGATCCAAGGCAATATGCTCAATTAATATTTGACAAAGGTGGCAAGAGCATACAGTGGAGTAAAGACAGCCTCTTTAATAAATGGTGTTGGGAAAATTGGACAGTTACATGCAAAAAAATGAAACTAGACCATCAACTTACACCATACACAAAAATAAACTCAAAATGGATAAAAAACTTAAATGTGACCCGTGAATCCATAAAAATTCTAGAAGAAAATGTAGGCTACAAAATTTCGGACATCATACAGAGCAGAATTTTCACTGATACATCACCTAAGGCAACAGAAGTAAAGGAGAAAATGAACACATGGGACTACATCAAACTAAAAAGCTTCTGCACAGCAAAAGATACAATCATCAAAATGGAAAGGCAACCCACTGTATGGGAGAACATCATTGCCAATGATGTATCAGATAAGGGGTTAATTTCCAATATATATAGAGTGCTCCTACAACTCCACAAAAGGAAGACAAAGAACCCAATTAAAAAATGGGCAGAGGAGCTGAATAGACACCTCTCCAAACAGGACATACAAATGGCCAAGAGACATATGAAGAAATGCTCAACATCACTAATCATGAGAGAGATGCAAATTAAAACAACAATGAGGTACCACCTCACACCTGTCAGAATGGCTGCCATCAACAAATCATCAAACAACAAGTGTTGGCGAGGGTGTGGAGAAAAGGGGACTCTAATACACTGCTGGTGGGAATGCAGACTGGTGCAGCCGCTATGGAATACAATATGGTGCTACCTCAAAAAATTAAAAATTGAACTTCCATTTGACCCAGTGATCCCACTTCTAGGAATATACCCTAAGAAGCCTGAAACACCAATCAGGAAGAATATATGTACCCCCATGTTCATAGCAGACTATTTACAATAGCTAAGATCTGGAAACAGCCCAAGTGTCCACCAGTAGACGAATGGATCAAAAAGCTGTGGTACATATACACAATGGAGTACTATGCAGCAGTAAGAAAGAAAGATCTCTTACCCTTTGAGACGACATGGAGGGACCTGGAAAGTATTATCCTAAGTGAAAGAAGCCAAGCAGAAAAAGACAAATACCACATGATCTCACTTATATACGGAATATAATGAACATAACAGTCTGAGGAATACAGTAGACCCAGACACATGGAAGTAGGGCACAGACTGACATCCCTCAGAAGAGGGGATGGGGGGTGGGAAGAGATAAACCACAGAACTTATATGCATGTATGCATGACCAATGGACATGGACAACTAAGCCGGGGACAGGGTGGAGGGGGGGTGGGGTGGGGGGTGCCAATGGGGTAAAAAGGTAAAATATCTGTAACAAAAAAATAAATAAAAATTCATAAAAAAATAAAATAAAATAAACAATAAAATTCTGTAATATAATTAAACAATAAGACTTAATTTAAAATCCAGTTAGCATCAGATTTATAGAAACTTGTGTTTCTAAAAATTGTGTTATAGAAACCAGGAACTGTTAGTAGCCATATCTATCATTTTATTCTAGTTTTACAGCAGCCTTTATAGGCTTGACAGATGACATGGCTCTGGGCAGCAACACTGTGACAAAGAGTCAGTACCCCTGATTCTCAGCCTCAGCTTAGCTAGTTCTGCTAAGAGCCTTGGAGTCCTGCATTCGGTACACAAAACATCAGCTGGTCTGCATTGTGGCTGGAGGGGGCCTCAGACTGGTCAGAGTAAAGAGGAAGAAGGCATCCCACTCTGCTGGGCCCTCTACATGCATTATCTCATGACAATTCTTACTATATTATAGCTCTATCTTAGCCCTTTGGTAGATGAGAAAATGACGGTTTGCAATGGTTAAACAAGGTCTCCAAAATAGCACAGCTTGGAATCAAAGTCCAGTGGGAATTTGGACCCAGGTGTGTTTACTTCTGAGCTCTTTTGCTGTCTGGGGTGAAGGTTCCTGCAGGAGTGCAGGATAACAATGTTCTGTCACAGAAAATTCTTTATTTAAAGACTGTTAGGTAAAGAAAGACCTATATTGGGAGCCTTCCCAGTCATGGAGAAGGTCACAGGAATGATTAAGAAACTATAAACTGACTTAGTCAATGAACACTACATTTTGATGGTTATTGTGGATTCTATTACATGAAAATCAAAAACTCAACCTGAAGACATGTGTGTAAATAAATGTATGTGTATGTATGTGTGTGCATGCATGCATGCATGTGTGTGTGTGTGTTTGGGGTTTTCTTGTGACCAACATGGTCTTCTGGGACTTTTACTATTCTGGTTTGAAATGCTTTGTAAACCTCTTGTGGTTAAAACAGAGTTTAAACCGCACTTGTACTGACTGTACCACATTCATTTGAAGTGCCCTGGGTGAAAACTAGGTCCAATTCAAAACTATTTTGAATAGAAAGTGCACCATAAATGTAAGAGAAAATTACTTTGCTTGAGGCAAGTTCTTATATAAACTTATAAAAGTTTAAAAAGAACTTATAAAAGTTCTTACATAAAGTATTTCCACTTTAGTTTTTCAGTGGAGGTTCCTAACCCAACCCATATTCAATCCTAAACTCAACAAAAACTGCTGGTCAGACAAGCTTTTCCTTTATATAACTATAAATTCTTTTAATTTAGAAACATCCCATGGATGTTTCCTTTTCCCAGTTTCACTTCAGGAATCAGAAGAGAATAGCTGAGGAGGAAGAAGGATAGAAATAAGATGGACTAGACCTTTCTAGACCCCCAAACTGTCAGGCACTGGCCAGAATCAAGGGCTCTGCACCCCACCCATGGCCCTGGGGTACTCACCATGGTCATGGGCAAACACCAGCAGCTCCAATCCTACCAGCATCTGAGCCAGCTCATCATAGCGGCCGCAGTGCTCCCCAGCTCCATGGGACACAAAGACAAGAGCCCTGCAGGGGTGAAAGGGGAACTGGGTTGAGAACGCAGCAGATCACCAAGGCTGCAGCTCAAGCAGTCCAGAGTTTTCATGACATCAGTCAAAAACTAGATTGCAGACTAAAAGAATCAGTAATTGAGAGGGGATTGCTCTTAGAATGCTGAGCTTCAACATTCTACAGAATGGAGTCCAAATCCAGTGAGGTCTCAGGCAAAGTACCCAAATTCAATGCTTCATTTCCTTTTTTAATTAATTAATTAATTAGTTTTTGTTATAGATGTTTCTCCTTTTTCCCCTCACTGATTCCTCCATCCCCATCCCTCCCCCACCACCTGTCCCTAGCTTTGTTGACCATGCCCAATGTTCATGCATACATTCATATAAGTTCTGTGATTTATCTCCCGCCTGAGGATTGTCAGTCTGTACCCCACTTCCACATCTCTGGGACTACCCCATTTCTCAGACTGTTATGTTTATTACATTCCACAAATAAGTGAGATCATATGATACTTGTCTTTCTCTGTTTGGCTTGCTTCACTTAGGTTAATACTCTCTAGGCCCCTCCATGTCGTCTCCAAGGATAAGAGATCTTTCTTTCTTACAGCTACATAGTACTCCATTGTGTATATGTACCACTACTTTTGTATCCATTCATCGACTGATGGACATTTGGGCTGTTTCCAGATCTTAGCTATTGTAAATAGTGCTGCTATGAACATGGGGATACATACATTCTTTATGATTGGTGTTTCAGGTTTCTTAGGGTATATTCCTAGGAGTGGGATCACTAGGTCAAATGGCAATTCAATTTTTAATTATTTGAGGTATAAATATATTGTTTTCTATAGTGGCTGCACCAGTGTGCATTCCCACCCACAGTGTACTAGAGTCCCCTTTTCTCCATACCCTCGCCAACACTTGTTGTTTGATGATTTGTTGATGGTGGCCATACTGACAGGTGTGAGGTGATACATCACTGTTTTTTAATTTGCATCTCTCTGATGATAAGTGATGTTGAGCATTTCTTCATATGTCTCTTAGCCATTCCTATGTCCTGTATGGAGAGGTGTCTATTGAGTTCCTCTGCCCATTTTTAAATTGGGTTCTTTGTCTTCCTTTTGTTGACTTGTATGATTACTCTATATATTTTTGAAATTAATCCCTTATCTGATGTATCTTTGGCAATGATGTTCTCCCATACAGTGGGTTGCCTTTCCATTTTGATGGTGGTTTCCTTTCCTGTGCAGAAGCTTTTGAGTTTGATGTAGTCCCATGTGTTCATTTTTTCCTTTGTTTCTGTTGCCTTAGATGATGTGTCCGTAAAAATTCTGCTGCGTATGATGTCTGAAATTTTGATGCCTACATTTTATTCTAGAATTGTTATGGATTCACGGGTCACATTTAAGCCTTTTATTCATTTTGAGTTTATTTTTGTGTATGGTGTAAGTTGATGGTCTAGTTTCATTTTTTAGCATGTAGCTGTCCAATTTTCCCAACACCATTTATTAAAGAGGCTGTCTGTACTCCACTGTATGCTCTTGCCACCTTTGTCAAATATTAATTGAGCATATTGCATTGGGTCCATTTCCGGGTTCTCTATTCTGTTCCACTGGTCTAAATGCCTGTTCTTGTGCCAGTACCAAGCTGTTTTAATTATAGTCATTTTGTAGTATAACCTGATATCTAGTATTGTGATCCCACCTACTTTGTCCTTCTTTTTCAAAATTGCTGTGGCTATTTGGGGACTTTTTGGTTCCATATGAACTTTTGAAGTATTTGTTCTAGTTCTGTGAAGTAAGTCATTGGTGTTTTGATGGGGATTGCATTGAACCTATAGATTGCTTTGGGTAGTATGGGCATTTTAATGATGTTAATTTTTGAATCCATGAACAAGTTATGTGCTTCCATTTTTTTATATCTTCCTCTATTTCTTTTTTCAATGGCCTGTAGTTTTCTGCAAGTAGGTCCTTTACTTCTTTGGTTAAGTTTATTCCTAGGTATCTTAATTTTTTTGCTGTGATGGTAAATGGGATTGTTTTTTCAGTTTCTCTTTCTGTGAGTTCATCATTGGTGTATAGAAATGGTATTGATTTCTTGACGTTAATTTTGTATCCTGCTACTTTGCCAAATACATTTATTAAGTCTAGTAGATTTTTGATGGAGTCTTTAAGGTTTTCTTTTTATAATATCATGAAATCTGCAAATAATGACAATTTGACTTCTTCCTTTCCAATTTGGATCTCTTTTATTTTTTCTTTCTGTCCGATTGCTGTGGCTAAGACTTCCAGTGCTATGTTAAATAAGAGTGGCGAAAGTGGACATCCCTGTCTTGTTTCTCTTCTTAAGGGAAGTGTTTTAGTTTCTGTCCATTGAGTATGATGTTGGATGTAGATCTTTCATATATGGCCTTTATTATGTAGAGATATGATCCCTCTATCCCCACATTGTTGAGCATTTTTATCAGAAATAGATGCAGGATTTTGTCGAATGCTTTTTCAGTGTCTATTGATATAGTCATGTGGTTTTTATTCTTCATTTTGTTTATGTGATGTATCACATTTATTGATTTGCGAATATTGTACCAGCCTTGCATCCCTGAAATGAATCCCTCTTGGTCATGATAAATAATTTTTTTGATGTATTGCTGCATTCAATTTGCTAGTATTTTGTTCAGGTTTTGGCATCAATGTTCATCAGGGATACTGGCCTGTTGTTTTCTTTCTCTGTAGTATCTTTTTCTAGTTTTGGAATTAGAATTATGCTGGCCTCATAGAACAAGTTTGGAAGTCTTTCTTCTTCTTGAGTTTTTTGAAATAGTTTGAGGAGAATGGGTGTTAGTTCTTTTTTGAATGTTTGGTAAAACTCCCCTGTGAAGCCATTTGGGCCTAGACTTTTGTTTGCTGGGAGAGTCTTGAATACCTCTTCAATTTCCTTAGTTATTGATTCGTTCAAGTTTTGGAAGACTGTGTATCTAGAAATTTGTCCATTTCACTTAGATTGTCAAATTTGTTGCCATTGCCCTGGCCGGTTTGGCTCAGTGGTTAGAGCGTCGGCCTGTGGTACTGAGAGACCCGGGTTCGGTTCCTGCTAAGGGCACGTACTTCGGTTGCAGTTTGTCCCCGGCCCTGGTTGGTCGTGCGGGTGGCAGCCACTCGATGTGTCCCTTCACATCGATGTTTCTCTCTCTCTCTCCCACTCTATCTGTACAAAAAATGGAAAAATATCCTCGGGTGAGGATAAAAAAAAAAAAATGTTGTCATATACTTCTTCATAGTAGCTGTTAACAATCTTTTGTATTTCTGTGGTATCAGTTTTTACTTCTCCTCTTTTATTTCAGATTTTGTGTATTTGGGTTCTCTCTCTTTGTTTCTTGGTGAGTCTAGCTAAGGGTTCATCAATCTTGTTTATCTTTTTGAAAAACTAGCTCTTTGTTTCATTGATCCTTTGAATTGTTTTTTTTGGTCTCTATGTCATTTATTTTTGCTCTGACCTTTACTATTTCCTTCCTTCTACTTGCTCTGGGGTTTTCTTTTTGTTTGCTTTCTAATTCTTTAAGCTATGAGGTTAGATAGTCTATTATTTTTCTTGTTTATTGAGGTAGACCAGTAGTGCTATAAACTTCCCTCTCGGAACTGCTTTTGCTGCATCTCATAGATTTTTGTGTTGTTGTGTGTTCATTTTCATTGGATTCCAGGATGTTTTTATATTCTTCCTTGATCTCCTTGGTAACCCATTCATTGTTTAATAAGATGCTCTTTAGCCTCCAGGTGTTCAAATGTCTTTGCATGTTCTTGTTGCAATTGATTTCTAGTTTCATGCCATTGTGATCTGAGAAGATGCTTGATATGATTTCAATCTTCTTGAACTTGTAGAGATTTAGTTTGTGTCCTATCATGTGGTCTATCTTTGAGAATGTCCCATGTGCACTTGAGAAGAATGTGAATTCCGTAGTTTTGGGGTGTAATTCTCGGTAGGTATCTATGAAATCCATCCGGTCTAGTGCTTCATTTAGAGTCTCTGTGTTCTTGCTAATTTTTTGTCTAGAGGATCTATCCAGTGGTGTTAATGGGGTGTTGAAGTCCCTTGCTATGATTGTGTTGCTGTCGATTTCTCCTTGGAAGTCCTCCAGATGATTTTTAATATATTTTCGTGCTCCTATATTGGGTGCATATATGTTTATCAAGGTTATATCTTCCTGTTGGATATATCCTTTCAATATTATGTAGGCCTTCTTTGTCTCTAGTTATGGCCTTCATTTTGAAGTCTATTTTTATCAGATATGAGTATTGATACCCCCAGCTTTTTTTTTTTCCTTTCCATTTGCTTGGAAAATTTTTTTCTATCCCTTCACTTTTAACCTATGTGACTCCTTTATTGTGAGGTGGGTCTCTTGTAAATAACATATAGATGAGTCATGCTTTCTAATCCAATCAGCCACTCTGTCTTTTTATCAGAGCATTTAATCCATTTACATTTAAGGTGATTATTGATATGTACTTATTTATTGCCTTTTTTGTTTTGTGTGGTTCTATTTTTCTTTCTCTTTCTCCTTTTAACTACAGCAGTCCTTTTAACATTTTGTGCAGTGCTGGTTTGGTGCTAATGTATTCCTTTAGCCTTTTTTTTTTTTTTTTTATCTGGGAAGCTCTTTATTTGACCTTCTCTTTTGAATGATAGCCTTGCTGAGTAGAGTAGTCTTGGATTCAGATCCTTGTTTTCTATTACTTTGATTATTTCATGCCATTCCCTTCTGGCCTGCAGTGTTTCTTTTGAGAAGTCAGCTGATAGCCTTCGGGGGTTCCTTTGTAGGTAACCAGTTGCTTATCTCTTGCTGCTTTTAGGATTGTCTTTTTGTCTTTAATTTTTTGCATTTTAATTACTATATGTCTTGGTGTGGTCCTGTTTGGGTTCTTCTTCCTTGGGGCTCTCTGTGCTTCTTGAATTTGAATGCCTTCTTCCTTCACTAAATTAGGGAAGTTTTCTATCACTATTTCTTTGAATATATTCTCTAAC